TATCCCTACCCAAATTCTTTGAATCCGAAGTTCCTTCCAGATTCAGTTTTGCTTGTCTTTGCTATTTGGTTTTCTGGAAGTTCTAAACTTAAAATTGAGGCTGAAGGGAGATGTTAAACTCCCTGGTTCTTGGCCTCTTGTCTAGCAATTTTTGGTTGCTCCACACCCCCCCCCCAAAGTTCTGCTTCCAGTAGTTTCAGATACAGGGCTTTTGTCACCTGAATAGGGAGGGGTTGGGGAAAATCTCTTTCTGCCTGTTTGAGCAGCAGCATGTCACAATCAAGTTAGCAGATTCTGTGTCTGGATAGCACAGTAGTTGACAATTTGCAGTTTGGGAAATGCAGGTTGCAATTCATTACAGATGGCTTAGGTTTAATGTAAGATAAGACTTTTGCATCCAATAATTAAATATAAACATAGGTTCATAACTGAAGTCTGGATTGAAAGGAACAAAGATAATAGGGCTTAAATGAATATTTTCAAAAGTTAAATACTTCTGAATATTTTTACTGTCTGCCAATTGTATTATATAACTTTACATTTAAGTATTTTCAAATGTTTTTCTTTCCATTTTCTTACAAACGTCTAATCCACAATTTTCTTCTGCAGGATTTCCATAACTGTTCTCATTGGCAAAAAGTGATAATAATTGTCGTGGGGAACCATGTGGTCAAAAACTGGGGTAAAAAAAAAATAAGAATCAGCAGTGAATATAGTATGTGCCTAGCAGGGAATTTTATAGGAGCGTAATTCAAATTTATAATGGGTCTCAAGAGAATATCATTCAATAACTGTAACACTCATGTATGGGAAAAATATCTTTTTATTATTTTTCATGAAAGTATAAATATATAATAACAGAAGTGCTTTCTTAGGGTGTATCTTATAATTGCAAGTAATCTTATATAGCAATATAGCAGCCTTTTCTTATCCAATGCCCTAGAGATATGTTAATTTCAACTCCCAGTTCCCATTGAACTCAGTGGAATTTATTTTTTTAGTAGATATATTTAGAGTTGTATGTAAGAGCACCCCAAAGCAAACCAAAACAAACCCACTCTACCCTGAATTGTCCATTATTGGTTTAACTGTTCCAGTTAGCTGTGGATGTTAATTCAATTAATTTCTTCAATAAATAATTGATTTGTCATATTTCAGGATTATCTGTTTCACAGAAATATTAATGAAGACCTGAAAGCATTTGTAGATAAATACGGTTTTGATGTCCTTGTCATTTCGGCCAGCTACTTAACAGAAGGACAAGAAAAAAAGCAAATAGCAGTTTATTCAGAAAATATGGAACTAGGAAATCAGGTATGTATTCTGAAAAAGATAATGAAATAATATAAAAACTTGCATTGTCATAAAGGATGCGTTGTTGCATCATATTTTGCCATTACATTTTTTAATAATACAGGATAAGTTAAAGTCTTAAAAATATTGCAAGAATAGTACAATAATTTCTACAATGATTTACAAACAGTAAAACACCATTAGGTGGTTAAATGGCAGGAAAATTAGAGAAGGAAAAGCAATTGTAAATTTTTTAAACTGAACTCCGTTTAACAGGTTTACATAATTATTTTGTCTTCATTTAACACCTATGTCATGAACGTGTAGAGATTTCTCCATAGAGTTTTTTAAACTTCATATTTGATAGAATAGTCACAAAATTTATTAGCCATACTTCCCCAATTCCTGTATTTGTTTGTCACATAAAGATCACACCACAAGAATTACTGTATTTTATCAAAGCATATATGTATTGATTATTTTGATTGAAGAAAACACAATACCCCCTCTCCATGTGCTAGACTGTCCCCTATTCTAGGGTTATCTACAGTATATTATACTATTTACTCTTCATGCCACTGGTTTGCTATTTTTGGTATTATTTAACTCTGAGTTAAAATATCCTTCCTTGCAACTATCCATAAACTCTCTCTTGTGACAAAGTTATAGAAGTTTTTTTTCTAAATTCACATGAGAAAGTTTATTTTTGTTTGTGTATAGGAATGTTACATGAGTATTATATAAGAATCCAATTCATGTGAGTATGTATATCATAGAAAGACCAGACAGATTATCATGGAGAAAATCTATGTGGTTGCTAAGAGTCAACAGTGACTTGATGGCACACAATAAATCAAATGTGTATCATGTGTTATCGGTGTGAATTAGTGTATGAACGAAAGTCTCTGTTTATGTGTATTGTGTGTAGACTTGGATGTATTCATGTATGTGAGAGTGAGGAGTGGCATGGTCTTGCTCACTTTATCTTTGGGCTAGTCCATTATTTTTTGCACTACAGGTACAGTGGGGAAAAAAGTATTTAGTCAGCCACCAATTGTGCAAGTTCTCCCACTTAAAAA